GCAGAGCAGCCCCCACTTTCTCACTACCTCCGGCTCTTTCTGCCGACAGGAACCGGATACTCGGCCGGCGTCCTCCCTCTCGCCCCTGCCGGGAATCCACGCGGTTGGCGCTGCTGCTGGCACTGGTGTCCCCGTCGGTGGTGCCGCGGACGATTCCTCTGACAGTGAGGCTGAGCAGGAGGGTGCGCAGAAGCTCATCAGGAAAGTGTCCACATCGGGACAAATCAGGAGTAAGGTACTAACCCCCAATGGCCCCAGTGCTGCAGATTTGTCTGTTTTTTTTTTCTGTGTCCTTCAAACATTTGTCTGTGTTTACAATTCTAGTCTGTGAGTTTGTGCCTCCTTGGGTCTGTAGTTTCTGATTCTTTTGTGCGTCTTTATTTGAAACTTAAATTGCCCTTGAGTGTAGACTTGACTCCATAGCAATCTGGATTTTTGTTTTGTTTAAAAATCAAAGAAACAATTCGAAAATTCACACATTAAGCTCCGGTCTTATTTTGAGTCATCATGAATCGGTTTCTCATCTTTTGGTCCTAAGGAGTCTCGATCAGTTGTCTTTTTGTCATTTATGAGTCTCTGTGTTTCTGCTGCTGAGTTAAGTTTTCTGTTCTCCTTCATGTCCCTTTGTGTGTCCTCGAACGCCGAAGACACTGATCTTGATCTTAAGATAGTTATTGTTTGATATGTAGATCTGGTGTTAGAAATTTGGGGGTCATTTTGTTCTTTTTAAATTTGCCAAATATGGAATATCCAAACTTGAGGCCGAGACACCTCTTTTTTTGTTTTTTGCCAGTCTGTGTTAACCAAAACGTGGTTTAAATCACTTTGTTAACCCCTTTTCATATTACATTCCCGGGGATTACAATCAGGGATTTTACGTCACACCACAGACGAGTTGTTTATCCACTCAGCCTCCATCGGTGAGGTGAATCATTTATTGTGCGACTCTGGTGCTTGAAATCATTTGTTCAGACATAGGTGGTTTCTCTAGGCATAGTTACACGGGCACTTCCTTTAGTTCTCTGAGCTAAGAAATATATATATATATACATACATACTGTACATTGGTTTCAGCATATGTTTATATATATGTATATATATGTATATATGTGTATATATGTATATATGTGTATATATATATGTATATATGTGTATAGATATGTATATATGTATATATATATGTATATATGTGTGTGTATATATGTGTATATATATATGTGTATATATGTATATATGTGTATACATTTATATATTTGCTCTTCATTATAGCTCTCAAGTGTAAGTCAGACTCTTCTGTTGTTTTTATGTCCTAGATCACACGTGGCAAACTCAGGCCTGGGGGCCAAATCTGGCCCGCAGTGCAATTATATTTGGCCAGATTTTTAATTTTGGCCCAGTGTGAATTTGAAACCCCTGTCCTAGATTATGATAGTAACCCCGTGCTAGCGCAGGTGAGTGACATAGCTCCTTCGGACATAGAGCGAAAATCGCGTTACATCACACCGTAGTGCAGTGATTCTCAGTTATTTTCTGTCATGCTCCCTCTTGGGGAAAGACATTTTTTTTACACCCTCCCCAGCCCTCACACCCCCCTGCAAATTGACTTTCTATTGAGAACTTGATATCATGTATATTTACATTACACTCTATGTGTTGCTGCCACCTAGTGACTGGAGGCTTGTTATCATTCAAACATTACAGCAGTGGTCCACTTATGTCCTATGTGTCATATTCCATTGGAAGCCCCTCACGCCCCCCCATGGGGGCCCGCCCCACTATTTGAGAAGTACTGCCATAGTGATAGAACTCTGACATAAACCCAGGACCCCCTGTATATATATATTTTATTTGAGAACTTCAATTTTGTTATTTGTTACTAATTTTTTTGTTACTCTCCACATTTTTATTTTTTTTTTCACACCAAAAATGTATCGATCCGTGATGTCGGTACTGAGGCAGGTCAGGCCAGGCGTTATTTGCGCCTTCATGCATTTGTTGTGTCGACTGCGTTTGGCTTTAGTAGAACTGTTTTGAGCATTTGGCTCTTTGCTCTGCGTTGTTACAGAGGTCAACCAAATCAACTTCGCGTCAAAAAACCCACCTTCTCTAGTGGGCAGTAAAACACATGCTTTACATATGAAAGGTGAAAATGAACTTCAGGAGTAAGAGGACTCATTGGTGACACTTTACCTCCGTCACCTTAGCTCCTTGTCCCACTTGTCTCCTTCAGCACGAACCAGTGCCGTCCTCCAACACTAATGCATGCACTTAATTATTGACCGCTGCTTGCATAATTCAGCAGGCACCGGGCTTATATTTACCTGAGACTGAGCACAGATCAACATCCCTTCAAACCTTTGTCATAATAAATACTTAAGGAGACTTACCCATTGATCTGCTGCTGTCTCCAACCATTAGGTTAGAAGTGATATTTTGTCACGCTTTTTCTTCAAAAATGTCTTTAGTGACACGGTCTGACCGCAGCAGACAAAGCAGACCTAGTATTGTAAATATTGTTTATAGATTCGCCAAACCGTCAGTGTCAAGCTTAAAAACTACAGGGCAGTGTCTTCCTTTGTTTTTTATTTTCTGCAGAGTTCAGGGGACAGGGGGGTTTTCCCTTGATGCACGCGGCAAGTCTATAACAGTTGAGGGTATATTGTTTCTGGAAACGTTACAGTAGAAAGTAGCGACATGCAGTATAAACACCTCGCACGGACCTGTCTCTGGAGGACGGACTAGAAGCGGGAGCTTACGTCTGCAGACGCCGTAACTGTAGCTGTGATCTTAGTGTGTTGACACTGTGCTAACAAACGTTGCTTTGGTGTGGGTCACCGGGTTTTTGTGTTCACACTGAAATATACACACTCATAAACACAGACACACAGATATCCAGTGCTGAGCAAACAAGTCAGTGGAACAGCGCTGCATGATCCATTAGTAACACTCAACACATACGTGCATGCACACACACACACACACACACACACACACACACACGCACACGTACGTTTGCCCGTCACGGTATCCACGTCCATCCATCCTTACTCCTGCTCACAGTGTGAGTGGTTCTTTGGTTTTTCCAGGAAAACCTTTAGTCTTTCAAGTCCAAATATGCTCAGCCTATAACAGTTTTTTTTTTTGGCTTAAATATACACACACACACATTTTTACATTTTATTTATACAAGGTTAAGGCAACCCTTTGATGCATGACCCATGATATACTGAGTTAAAAAAAATGTTACTAAGTGTTTTTATGTGTTTTTAGACATAAAAATAAGAACTGATTTGGTTCTGTTTTTATACACCAAATTTTTCTTTTTGAATGTTGACACAATTATTCTGCTGGCTGACCACTGTATGGCAGTGTTGGGTGATTCTCAGGCGTCCGCTGCAGAGGCTGATATGCAACACTGCCATCAAAACCTATTCTTATCATAGAAAATGACATTTTAATAGCTGTCCACTGTAGTGACCGTCATGCATGAAAGGGTTAATTTATCAAGCCCCCGCGGGCCATACAAAATGACTTGGCGGGCTGAATTTGGGCCCCCGGGCCTTGAGTTTGACACATGTGATCTAAACACTTGTTCGAGTAGTGAATATTTGGATTCATGCTATGAAAATAATCGTTGTTAATTTATAAAAGTAGCGAAACCTAGTCAGATAAAATATGACGCAGCTTAAGACTTAAAATATAATGATACATAAAAAACGACTAATTTAACTCCGGAATGAACAAAAAAACGACGCCAGATCACGCCAGATGTGCCAGCTTCAGAAACAGCAAAGTATATTGTTGTTGTATATTGTAGTATATATTTTTTAACGAAACTTACACCAAAGTTCACTTATGGTATGTCGTTAACATGAGCTAACAATGAGTTAACAATATAGCGTTATTGCGCATATTTAAATCAACATAAAGGGGATCTAAGATAAATTAGGTTTAGAGCGCCCTCTATTGGATGTTTTACGACATGCATCTCAGTCAGGTCAGGGCAGTTTTAAATCTTAAATTTCCTGCAGGGAAAGCGCAGGCAAAACAAGATTTTATTTTTGATCTGAGAGATCACGATAAGATTTGAGGTTCACCAGATAAACGTCTCATTTCTGGGTGCCACGATGATGAAGGTGACAGCTACGAGACGTTATGAAGAACTTCCCCTCACACCCTCTCGCACTCGCCTGGTGTCGTTACTGTTCGCGTTAACGTGCTGGAAGCTGTGGGTCCAGTGAGTGAGTCTTTGTTTGTCTGACGATGAGTCTAATTGAGGCAATTGTCTGTAAATTGCAGCCCTCGTCAGCATCGCTAACACGCTTTTAGCCCCGTCTGACACATGGATACCGTACCTTCGCTGATAGGTCCCTCGGAGGGGGGGGGGGGACACAACCACAGGGGAACTGCCTGTGGCTGGATGATAATTTTCCCATCAGGCTGGTGACATCTTAAACATGTGGTAGGAGTTTCGTACAGAGGTGTAATTATTGTCCAACATCTAGGACAGGGGGAGACAGTGAGGCTAGAGCGGTGCAAAGAAGTGGGGGGGGGGAAAGGGAAAAGGTTCAGTTGGTCTGTTAAAAGACTGGATTGTTCCAGACCCTACATGTGAATTCAGTCTCTCAGGAATGACACATGAGTGGGTATAACAGAGTCTCTCACAGAACGAAGGAGTCCTCGCACAGAGGGTTGTCTGTCAGCAGATGTTAATAAAGACACAAAGGACAAACCAGGATGTGGATGTTTTTAAATAATGGACCAGTCGCAGTAACATCGGTTTGGTCCAATCAGACGTAGGTTTGACTAGTAGGACACATGTGTTTTTGTAGATGTGGGCTCAAACTAAGGCCCGGGGACCGGATGCGGCCCGTTTAGCTTTTTAATCCGGCCCGCCAAACTTTTCCAAATTATATAATTTCTTTATACTATCAATATACTTTTCACTTTTCCCTGCAATACCCGCGTTTCCTCAATAGATGGCGTAGAAAATGATAAAATTATTTTAGCCTTTATGCAGGACTTGTGTAATTTTATTAATTAAAACATGTAATTTATTTTAGTTCACACGAACGCTCCATCTATCTGCTTCTGACCCGGCCCCCCCTCCCCGTTCAATTTTAGGACGCAAGTCAAAAAGTTAGCCCACGCCTGACTTAGACCATAACTTCGGGAATTGGCACTGTCTTATAACCAAGACCAGAAAACTCTCGTTAGTAAAAGTCTCACATTGGT